TGAGGGCTTTCTGAACAGAATTTAAGAGTGGGAGGAAGGCCAGGGGTGCCCCCCAGCCCTGGTGGCTGAGATGAGTTGACGGAGGATTTGGCTGACAGCCGCTTTGGTTTTCAGGATGCCTTTTTGACACCTCCGTCTCCGATTTTCCACCTGCAAGAAGCAGGCAATGGCTTTGCTACTTTTCATGACCCTCTCTAGCCCTGGGTGCTGGAAAGAGATGACAAACGTGATTATCCACTCTTCTCACGATAATAATATTGGTCAGCTACTTCTTACGACTGGGGGCCTTCTGACACACCGTCGATGAAGGGAAGGGTAGCGACCTTTTGAGCTGCAACTCGATTCTAATTCAGTTGGCCAAGGACACGGATTTCTGTGGGGGCATCCCAGTGATGTTACGGCCCAGGGTAGGCAGACCTCATCAGATCTTGTAAGCTAAGCAGGGTCGGCCCTGGTCAGTATTTGGATGGGAGGCCACCAAGGAAAACAGGGGTTGTCACGCAGAGGCAGGCAATGGCAAACCACCTCTGTTCGCCTCTTGCCTTGAAAACCCTACAGGGCCAACATAACTCGGCTGCGACATCACACTTTATACACACACATCCCATTGAGAGAGCCCTGGGTTGCGAGCTGTGTCTAGAAAGGGCCTTTTGGATCAGGAATAGAGAAGTTAAGAAGGAGGGGAGCAGGTTGATTGAGAGGTCTGTTTGGATTCTCAAGGTGTGACCTGCATGGAGCTTCTGGGGTGGGTGTCCAACTTGCATGGACCTTCTGCTTTTCTCTCTGCTTTTGGATGGTGTTTTCGCTTGAATTCGATCCTTCCTGCGGCAATCCAGAGTGTCTCCTGTGGACGGTGTTGACCTTCTCGCTATCTATCTCATCTATCAGTCTTTTGCTATTTTTCCCCCCTCTTCTGAATTTCCTGTAAAGAGCTCAGAGTAGTGTACCCAGTTCTGCCTTCCTCTACCTTACGTAGCACTGACCTTGTATGCAACCTCTCTTTCCTCCTAGCGCGCAGTAGTTTGGATGATGCAGGTTAACCAAGGCGGAGGGAGAGTTGATAACTTGGATGGTCTTCCTTTGGGATGGATGGGGTTGATTATACTGAAATCCCATAGAGCCCCGTGGGGGCCGGCTGTGCATACAAGACTGGCCCTGCCATTAGGCCAAACGATGCAATCTCATCCACACTTTCTCATGAGATTTTGAAGCACTCGTCGACTCTGCAATATGGAATCGCTGCATTAGTAACACTCCGTCGTTCTGTTTTCTCAGATGGCCCAATTTTTTGCAAGGAGTGCTGTGTACGGGCAGTACGCAACACATTCCAGTTCCTTCCTCTCTCCCCTTCTCTACGTTACAAATGCACATAATGTAAAAATACCGCGTAACTTTAATGCAGGGGTCCACAGCCTTTTTCAGCCTGAAGGCGCCTTTGGGATTCTGTCATGGGAAGGTGGGCATAGTGTCGCCAGGTCTGGGGTGGAAAATCCCTGGAGACTTTGCGGGGTGGAGCCAGAAGCGGGCGGGGCTTGGGGAGGGGAGGGGCCTCGGCATGGTACAGTGCCATCGAGTCCACCAGTCAGAGCAGCCATTTTCTCCAGGGGAGCTGATCTATGGCAGCTGGAGATCGGTTGTAAAAGTGGGAGATCCCCAGGCCCCACCTGGAGGCTGGCAACCCTAGGTGGGCACAGCCACAAAATGGTTGCCTCGAGAGGCAGAGTCACACACAGAGAGGAAGCCCAAGAGCAAGGGAGAAGAGGGGTGATTTAGAAGTACACTGTAGGGTTACCATTCCCGAGAGGAAGCCCAAGAGCAAGGGAGAAGAGGGGATGGGTAATTTAGAAGTACATTGTAGGGTTACCGTTCCCGACTTGGGGGCAGGGAATCCCCTGCTTTTGTGAGCTCCTGCCCACCGCTGGCCACAGGAGGAATCTCCCCCCATAGAGCAATGTCAGGCAACATGCCGACATCACCTGGAAGCGATGTAGACACATCAGTGAAGTTGGGAGCTGACGCTCTGGTGTTTGGGCAAAACTCTATGGTTTGAGGCCAATTTCGCCATAGAGTTTTGCCGAGAACCAGAGCGTCATCCCTGACGTGCCTACATCATTTCCAGGTGACATGCGACATCACGTCTGGCGATGTTGGCATGTTGGGGGTGATGCTTCTGGCTCTTGGGCTGTGCCCCCCCATCCCCCCACTAGTGTCTCGAAGGGACCGGGTCACCTTAGTACATTGGGACAGAGGAGTGAGAGAGACTAAAGCCGACACTGAGGGGGCAGCTGACACGGAAACAAGGCAGCCAACCAGACGGTCAGTGGCAAATCAGGAGCCCTGCTGGGCAAGAGCTAGGGTTGCCAACCCCCAGGTGGTGGCTGGAGATCTCCTAGGATTGCAACTGATTTCCAGGTGACAAATCAGTTGACCTGGAGAAAATGGCCACTTTGGAAGGTGGACTCTATGGGATTATAACCCATTGAAGACCCTCCCCTCCCCTAACTCCACCCTCCTCAGGCTCCACCCCCAAAATCTCCAGTGTTTCCCAACACGGAGCTGGCAACCCTGGCAGGACCCCACCTGGTCCCACTCACTGTTTAAAAGACACTTGGTGGGTGCCAAGAAAGCTGTCAGCAGGCACCACAGCGCCCACGAGCACCCCGTTGGTGACTCCTGCCTTAATGGGATTACAGATACCAGCTGTTTTGGAATTCTTTGGGTGCGGTTATCCATGGGGAGGAGCTTACGGGCAAGTCATTAAAGCCACACACAGAAAAGGAGTCTTGATGTGACCGTAGGTTTGCCAGGTCCCTCCGAAACGCCAGCAGGGAGATGGGAGGGGGGGACATTCCAGGAGTCACTGGAAGTGACAGTGTGCGACAGGCTTGCCTCACCTGGAAGTAATGTAGGGATGTCAGTGATTCCGGAGGCAACGCTCTGGGTTTTGGGGTGAAACTTTATGGTAAAATCAGCTTCAGACCATAGAGTTTTGCCCCAAAACCAGAGTGTCACACCCCCCCCCCAACATCCCCGACATGCCTACATCAGGAAGTGATGCTGGCACATAGTGTTTATTTCCAGGGATGTCGCTAACAGCTGACTGTTGGGGGGAGATTTCTTCCCACCGGCCAGCTAGCCGGCGGCAGGCAGGAGCCCGCAAAACGGGGGGATCCCTTCTCCCCCCAGCTGGGGAATGGCAACCCTATGTGATCGCTTGTCTGGGTCCATCAAGTTTGCTTCTTCTCCGAGAGTTTCATCCCTGTGCATTTGTGCATCGGTAAAGTGGGGGGGGGAGACACCCCAGCCAACTGCAGGAAAAAGAAATCAGTGACGACCTGTGTATGGTTCAATTGTAGGGGAGTTTTGAAATTCCTCCAATTAAACTGGAAGCGAGGAAGAGTGGGAAAGAGCACAGAGAACGGGGGTCCCCAACATGACGCCACCATTCCAGGCGCCCGCCAAGTCTTTTTAGAAAGTGGGCGGGGCTTTTGACCAGCCAGGCTTCTGATTGGCCCTTGGCAATTTGATTGGCTGTGCCGATTTTTAAAAGCGTTACTCGGGCGGCAGCTCCCACTGCAGCACCAGGCTCTTCCTTGCAGTAGCCACTTTTGTTTGCTTGCTTGTTAGTTGTTTCTGTTTCTATCACAGCAATAAACTCAGTCGTAAAGGTCTCATTAATTGACTAGCCCCGCCTCCTGCGACAGCCATTGTGTGGCGGCCATCTTGGGGGGGTGCACACTACTGTGTTAGAATTCCAAAAATTCCAAAGATTGGGGACCCCAGAGAGAGAGAATAAAGCAACAGAATGCCGGGGGTTCCGCTCCCCCTCCTTTTCGTGCCGAGTTGGGGGCGTCTGCCCCGTTGGATCTCCCCCATTCCCTAAAGCACCGGTGCCTTCCCAGCCCAAGAAGAGAAGGTCCCAACTTGAACTTTCCCTCCACCTAACCTGCCTGCCACTTTCTCACTTCTCTCTCTCTCTCTTTTCCTGGCTGCAACTTGGGGGGCCTGGAGGTCGCTTGGCAGCAAGGGGGAGGGGACGCCCGCAGTAGCGTGACGGGCAGGTCACCTTGGCATCCCAGCAGCTCACCTTCTGCTCCTTCCTTTGGACAGATGCCAGTCCGGTGGCGCACAGCTCCAGTACGTACCACGCCATCATCGGGGGAGTGGTCGCCCTCATCGTCTTCCTGCTCCTGAGCCTGCTCATCATTCTAGGACACTACTTGATCCGGCACAAAGGTAAGACTCCACAGAGATAGGTGCAGAGGCGTGCAGAGGTCTCCAAGTAGTCCTTCAGCAGCCCTGACCTGGATGGCCCAGGCTAGCACAGCCTCGTCAGATCTTGGCTGCTAAGCAGGGTCGGCCCTGGTTAGTACTCGGATGGGAGACCACCGAGGAAGTCCAAGGTTGGTAGGCAGAGGCAGAGCAATGGCAAAACCAACTCTGAACATCCCTTGCTTTGGAAACCCAAGGGGACATAAGAGAAGCCATGTTGGATCAGGCCAGTGGCCCATCCAGTCCCACACTCTGGGTCACACAGTGGCCAAAGCCCAGGTGCCATCAGGAGGTTCACCAGTCGGGCCAGAACTCCAGAAGCCCTCCCACTCTTCCCCCCCCCAGCACCATGAATACAAAGCTTCACTACCTCAGACATGAGATCATAAGAGAAGCCATGTTGGATCAGGCCAGTGGCCCATCCAGTCCCACATTCTGGGTCACACAGTGGCCAAAGCCCAGGTGCCATCAGGAGGTCCACCAGCGGAGCCAGAACTCCAGAAGCCCTCCCACTGTTGACCCCCAAAGCACCAAGAATGCAGAGCATCACTGCCCTAGACAGAGTGTTCCCTCTATACCTTGGGGCTAATAGCCACTGATGGGCCTCTGCTCTATCTCAGAACATAAGAGAAGCCAGTGTTGGATCAGGCCAATGGCCCATCCAGTCCCACACTCTGTGTCACACAGTGGCCAAAACCCAGGTGCCGTGAGGAGGTCCAGCAGCGGGGCCAGAACTCCAGAAGCCCTCTCACTGTTGCCCCCCCCCCCAAGCAGCAAGAACACAGAGCATCACTGCCCTGCACAGAGTGCTCCACCTATACCTTGTGGTTGATGGACTTCTCCTCTGTATGTTTATCCAGTCGCCTCTTGAAGCTTTCTGTGCTTGTAGCCGCCACCGCTTCCTGCGGCAGTGGATTCCACGTGTTCATTATTATTTGGGTGAGGAAGAAAGTTGGCTGTGACTCAGTGGCACCTTCCACCGCCGCCACCAGTCCTTCTGCCATTTCTCCTTTGCCGCAAGGGATGTTTGACAAAGAAGGGGCCCCCTCCGCCTGTATCAACCCACATGGTTGAGATCACCCTGCTCTGAGACGGAGGAAACATGGGCGTTCATGGGTGTGATTGATGGAGAGCCCAACGAGAGCTTTCAAGGTTTGCCAACCTCCAGGTGGTTATAGAAAAGTATGTGGCACTGTGTACAAAAGATGCATGCTTAAGGCAGATCTCTTTTGTCCTTTCACCACTTTTTTATACTGCTATATAAATTTTTCTATACTGTTATATAAATATTGGTGTCAAGTGTTACCAAACGCAGGTTTCACCAAAACAATGCTTCAGAGTGCAGGTTTACACTGTGTTCAAACATTCAAACAGCAGAAGAAGAGGAGGAGGAGGTTGGATTTCTACCCTGCCCTGCACTACCCAAAGGGGTCTCAGAGCAGCTTGCAAACTCCTTTCCCTTCCCCTCCCCACAACAGACACCCTGTGAGCAGTGTTCCCTCTAAGCTGAGTTAGTGTAAGAACACACATTTTTGTCTTAGCTCAGGAAGGATGGCCCCAGAGCCAACTAATTTATGCAGTAGCCCAGTCTCTTGCTCACAATTTTAATGCCAGTAGCTCACAAAGTAGAAATTTTGCTCACAAGACTCCACAGCTTAGAGGGAGCATTGCCTGTGAGGTAGGTGGGGCTGAGAGAGCTCTCTCAAGGACTGGTCCTGAGAGAACAGCTCTGAAACAACTGACCCAAGGTCACCCAGTGGGCTACATGTGGAGGAGTGGGGAATCAAACCGGGTTCTCCCAGATTAGAGTCCACGCTCCTAACCACTACTCCAAACTAAGCTCCTTCCACACTCTAAACCCAGCTTTCTCCAGGTTTCACCCCCTTCAGGAATTTCCCCGCCCCTAAAATTTTCCTTCCCAGCTGCTTCCCCCACCACTAACCTGTGGAACTCAATGCCCCAGGAGCTGCCTGAGAAATCGTCTGTGGTTCTCAGTTGTTGCTTTTTAAAAAAATTCCAAATTGTATACAGTATACTAAAGGTAAAGTTTTCCCTTGCTCGAAAGCCAGTCAAATCCTACTCTAGGGGGCGGTTCTCATCTCCATTTCCAAGCCGAAGAGCCAGGGCTCTCCGAAGATGTTTCCGTGGTCATGTGGCTGGCACATGACTAGACGCTGAGGCGCACAGAGCGCTGTTACCTTCCCACCGAAGCTGTACCTATTTATCTACTTGCAATTTCTTGCTTTCGAACTGCTAGGTTGGCAGGAGCTGAGGCCAGAGAGGCTCACTCCATCATGCGGCACTCGGGTCTCAAACTGCTGAACTACCGACCTTCCAGTCTGCAGTTCAGTGTCTTAACCACTTGAGCCACCGCAGCTCCCTATACAGTATACTAAGTATGCAATTTCCAGCATTGCTCAGCGCCACAACTTCATGGCGCCACTCATTTGTTTGAGGAGGTTTTAGAGGCAATTGGAATATCTGCATCAGGGCTCTTGGTTCAAACCGTTCCATTTTTATTAAGCATTTCAATGTTTAATGCTTTTCTCCGTAAGCCGATTTCAGCTTTCTAAGGGCTCTGGAAACTCACTGAACAAACGCAGTTATCCAAATATCTCTCCGGATTCGGAAATTCCAGGTTCCCTGATCTCGTTTGCAAAGAGCAAACAGTGCCTGAGGAATCCTCTGCGGGTTTTGGCATTTTGTTTGTTTGTTTTTTAAATTTCCAAATAGCACACCGGGTGCTGTGCATGCGCCTTTTGCTGCTCCTACTCAGCAGCACCAGTCATTCATATCCAGCTTCCTCCCTGCCCACCCCAGTTATGTGATCGATACGCACACGCCGAAAGGAACAACGACAACAAAACAATCAGGGCACAGCTATGCATACAGCTCTGTCCAACGGGCTGAAATTAAATCGAAAGAGTTTTCGACTAAACATTAGGAAGAACTTCCTGACAGAGAAGAAGAAGAAGAAGAGATTGGATTTATACCCCGCCCTTCACTACCCAAGGGAGTCTCAGAGCAGCTTACAAACTCCTTTCCCTTCCCCTCCCCACAACAGACACCCTGTGAGGTAGGTGGGGCTGAGAGAGCACTTGACAGAAACTGCTCTTTTTTCAAGAACAGCTCTTATCAGAACTATGGCTTGCCCAAAGTCATCCAGCCACGTGCAAGTGGAGGAGTGGGGAATCAAACCCGGCTCTCCCAGATTAGAGTCTGCGCACTTAACCACTACACCAAACTGGCGGTTCCTCAGTGGAACAGGCTTCCTCGGGAGGTGGTGGGCTCTCCTGTGGGGGTTTTCAAACAGAGGCTAGATGGCCACCTGACAGCAATGCTGATTCTGGGAACTTAGGCAGATCCCAAGACGGGAGGGCAGGAAGATGAAGGAGGAGGAGGAGATTGGGTTTATACCCCTCCCTTCATTCGGAGTCTCAGAGCAGCTCACGATCTCCTTTCCCTTCCCCTCCCCACAACAGAGAACAGCTCTGAAAGAACTTATGAGTGACCCAAGGTCACACCAGCAGCTGCATGTGGAGGAGTGGGGAATCAAAGCCGGTTCTCCCAGATTAGAGTCCGCCACTCTTAACCACTACACAAAACAGGAAGGATCAAGCCAGTGCTCAGTTCTTGTAGCCCTTTCTTATATGCCCAGGGTAATGCGGATTGCCACTTTGCCAACAGGAAGGAATTTTCCTCCAGGGCAGACTGGCCTAGAGACCCTGGAGGTGTTTGCCTTCCTCTGAATGGAGTACAGGGGTCACTGTGGGAGTGGGGAGGGGAGGTCGCTGTGAATGTCCTGCAATGTGCAAGGGGTCAGACTAGATGACCCTTGAGTACCCTTTTGGCTCTATGTCTCTCGATTTCTAAACTGCTTCCCACGTGGCGTCCTAGCAATGTGCAGGAACACATGGGCACATCATTATGAACTGAACAAGATGGACCTGTGAGAAACAGTGCACGATCTAATTCTGGAAGCAATTTCGAAAATTATCCTCATTACACCAAAATGAAAAATAGAGTGGAAGGCAGCCCAGGGAGAAATTCCCGACAGAGCCAAGGAACGCAACTGGGGAACTCCTTGTCGTGACCTCTCGGGCCTGGCCCCCCCTCCCCGAACACCAAGGTGGCAACAGTCGCCCCCCCCAAAAAATCCCTCCTCTCTTTTCATCCTCCGCCTTCCTCCCTCCCTGCAGTCAACTCTTAAGTACCCGGAGCTGCGTTCATCCCTCTCCAACTTGTCCTTTCCCTTCCTCTTCCATTCCCCGTTGTTTGTTCCAGCAGACATTAAACAGTTGGTTTGATGTACAGTGCCTAATTACTGCAGGCATTCTAGAAAATTAATAATAATTTGTA